AGATGGAAACAACCTACGTGCCCATCAGCGGAAGAGTGGATGACCAAACTAAGGTACATACACAAAATGGAATGCTATGCAGCACTAAAAAATAATGTAGAGTCTGCAAAACACCGCATAATATGGATGAACTTGGAGGACATTATGCTGAGTGAAATAAGTCAATCACAGAAGGACAAATATAGTATTAGTTAGTTGTTGTGGAGGGCCAAGGAAAGGTTTATATATATGGAGAGAAAGTTTCTTTGTTGGTTGCCGGGGGGAGGTGGGGGGAAACACTGTAAAAATAAAAATTAAAAAAAATGCATTGACTCATGTCACTTTAGTTTTGTGTATTTCACTGTACATAAATTATATTTCAATAAAATGCATTAAAAAAATCATTCATTATGACCAAGTGGGGTTCATACCAGGTATGCAAGGATGGTTCAACATTAAAAAAATAATAATAATAAAATAAAGTATATGAGACATAGTAAGTACTCAATAAATGTTTTGTGCTATTATTGTTAATAAGATATTACATACACTAAGGCAAAAAAATTCACTAGACCAATATATCTAAGTAGCCCTCAAGTCAATAATTTTGGAAGTCCTGCATCTTATATTCCTTTTTAAATTATTTATTCATTCATTAATTCAATAAACATTATTAAGCATCAAGCCATCAAGGAGCTTACACAATAGAAGAAAATATACATATTGACACAAAAGTTACATAAACACAAAATTACAAATTTTACTAAGTGATACAAAGGAAAAGAACAGGCAACCAAGAGAAAGATTAACATGGTGGACTTACACTGTGGTGTTAGAGAAAGCTTCTCTAAGGAAGCGTTGTTTAACTTAGACCTAAAAGATAAATGTTGTTATTATTTGCCATGGAGTCGGCCCCGACTCATAGCGACCCCTCCTTGGGTTTCCAAGGCAGTATCACTACAGAAGTAGGATTGCCCAACCTTCCTTGCAAGGAGTGGCTGGTGGGTTTGAACCGCCAGCCTTCTGGTTAGCAGTCAAGTGCCTTAGGCACTATGCTACCAGAGCTCCTAAATAGGAGTAAGGAAAGAGGAGAAAACAATATTCCACAGAATAAAGGATAAAATGAATGAATACACAAGTAAAACAAAACCAACAACAACAAAAAGTAGTTGAGTCAAGGAGCTTTAAAAAAACTAATAGTGAGAACAAGAGGGAAAGCAGGACAAGGTGAGGTTACAGAAATAAGCAGGGGCCAGATCACACATGACTGCACTGTTCACAGAAAGGAGTTTTTTTATTTATTTCAAGTGCATTATTCTGCAACTAAACAGCTTAAGCAAATAAGTGATGTAATCTGATTTATGTCTTTAAAAAGGTCACTAAAGAATTTTTTAAAAAGATAGAAGAGTAAAGACATTTTTTAAAACTATCCTTCCTCCCCAAAAACCCACTGAAGACAACAAAAAGCACCACAAGAAAACATCATCTCCAGTGATACAAGGAATAGACCATAACCACAAGCTACAAAATATGTACATTATCCCCCAGATACTGGGAAACCTTGGAGTGAGGAAAGATGTTAAGAGAAGGCAGGGAAAACAACTTCTCAGACCTGAAAGTATGGATAAGATACAGTTATCTCTAAAAGTTTATCAGTCCTAAAAATTCATTTCAACAAACTTTTGATTACAATGATAAAGTTTAATAGCATGGACAAATGATAAGAGAAATAATGCATAATCCTGTAAAGACCCAATTCTAAAACTAGGGTCAAGAATATAGAACTGTAGAATTTAAGAGGAAGAATCGATCAGTTTCATGATCTCCAACCAAATCTCCTAATCACAGAATATTTCTGGTGGTGGTGGTGTTGTTGTTATGTGCCGAGGGGATAAAAGACAAGAAGGACAGAAATCACTATATCACTTCTCAGAGAACCTGTGATATAAAGGCCTTCCCAACATATTGTACATGAAAGGAGGGGAGGCAAGTACTCTAGGTAGAAGACAAGACAAATATGGTAAAGATGTTTAAGGCAGCAATCTAATCTTGATGGATTTGTATCCTTAAATCTTACTTATTGAATATGTATGATGAACAAACAATCTGAGAAGCTGGACTATATGAAGAAGAATGTGTCATCAGAATTGGAGGAAGAGTCTTTGATAACCTTAATTTAATATTCAGTCTTACAGCTTCCATGATAACATTGAGAAGACTGTCAAATCTATTTGCCCAGTCTCGACTGTTCTTCTTCACTTTAGCTTCTTCAGCTTTTCCAATCTTACTGAATTGCCAATGGTTGCTTTAAGGTTTTGCTTCTTGTTTCCCTCTCCTAAAAGCAACTTAACTCTCTTAACTACTGTTTTAGTAATGGTATTACCATTCTCTCAATTCCCCAGGCTTAAAACCTGATTGTCATCTTTGATTCGCTTCCCTTTTTCTTGGTCCCTAGATCCAATTAATTTCCTAGTTCAACTAAATCTACCTTCAAAATATCTTATGAGTGCTACCTTTACTTTGCATTTTCATTGTTGTCAACCTAGATAATGGAACATCAAAATGGTAATAGGAACTTGCTGTCTGTTCTGGGCATTTCTACCAAACTTTCCCATTACTCTTCTACTTTTTGTTGCTGTTGTTATGTACCGTCCAGTCGGACCCGACTCATAGAGACCCCTCCTTGGGTTTCCGAGGCAGTATCCCTATGGAAGTAGATTGCCCAACCCTCCTTCCAAGGAGTGGCTGGTGAGTTTGAACCACCAGCCTCTTGGTTAGCATTCAATTGCCTTAGGCACTATGCTACCAGAGCTCCTAATCTTCTACTTAGAATCCTTCAAAAATTCCCCCCCTGAGAACAAGAGAAAGTTAAAATGGTCTGTTTGAAAATTATGACTCTCCTCAACCTGGATCTATCTATCTATCTTGGGTTTTTATTTGCCTAACATTATTCAGCCTAATATTGTGAAAACCTGGGTTTAAATTCTGGCTCTATCATTTACTAGAAATGTGGTTATAAGCAACCTCTGGCCTTCAGTATACTCATCTGAAAAATTAGAATAATAATACCAACCTTACAACATTGTTTTCAGATAAGATAAAGGGTGTGTTATAGTGGAATTCAATAAATGATAGCTGTTTATACATTTATGTTTTTTCTCAATCTGAAAAGCATGTCATTTCCTTTCTACCTATCAAAATCTTATCCACTTGTTGAGACCAAGGTCATAAACAACTTTGTTCATGAGGATTTATCCTGGACACCTTAGCCTTAAATGATCTTTCATACAGATTAACACAAAAATATTATTTTTCTTACTTTTGAAATTCCTTTCTCCATACATTTATTTTAGTGTATAGAGAACACTTAATCTCTCAGTGACACTCACACTTTAATGTAAGATAAAAAGATACTTGGTCTATCTCCACTGTTGAAATGTAAGCTCCTTCTGAGTAGTGATTTTGTGTTTCTGTTTTACATATAGCAGAGAATAACATTTCTTCACTTACTAATGTTGGAATTTTTTTTTTTTTAATTTACAGAGGAGATTAATACTCATTTTATCACACTGACTTTAATCTAAAAAAAATAAATGGCTTCTATAACTATTTATTTAACACAGTGTTCCCAGAGGTTCAATTTTATTATTAATATGTTGACAATTCATTGTTATAGCAGAAAATTTTTTCATTTTTCTATGACAATATATTCCTCAGACTTTATTTTAAAGCCTCTAAATATTTAATAAGAGTTGTTCCAAAACAAAACAAAACAAAACAAATTTGTTGCTGTTGAGCCAATTCTGACTCATAGCAACCCTATAGGACAGAATAGGGTTTCCAAGGCTGTAAATCCTTACAGAAGCAGACTTGCCTCATCTTTCTCCCACAGAATGGCTGGTGGGTTTGATTCAGCAACCTTTGTGGTTAGCAGTCAAGCACTTAACCACTGCACCACCAGGGCTTCTAAGAGTTGCTTGACACCTATGAAACCACTTCCAGTAAGAAACACAATGCTAAGCAAGTGGCATCATCATCTCCCGCTCCGTGGTTTCTAAAACTAAACCAAACACTCAAACTTTATTTTCATCAAATAAAGAAATTGTTTAAGATGTATTTTACTTTGCTTGTAATTCAGGGGGAAAAAAATTCTGACATGTTAATTATTTCAGGCTTAGAAGGCAAAAACATATTTCTAATGTTACAATTTTAAATGGTTTAAAATGATTTTTTAAAATTTCAAAGGTTGATTTAAAATTACATCTACTCAACAAAAGAAATTTTAAGGTGTTATCTCACAGTTTTGTTTACATAATATTAAAAGCGGCTTGGCTAGTTTTTTTCCACTGAAAGAACTAACAGGCTGACTGGTTATTTTTGTATTAGGTGAAGTTTTTATTGACCTATAAGTGTGTATTGACCACATTAGTAAAAATAGAATATGTTGCTTTTCATGAAAATTAAAATATTTCATTTAGAATAATAATCCCAGAGTTTATTTTTTCTTAAACAATGATTTACTTCAAAACAATCTCTACCTAAAATGAACTTTATACTCCATTTCAACACATTTGGTACTATTCTGCTGGCAAGATATTTAATTGATATATTTAATGTATTTTTCCTTAGTCGCCTATAACTTTTACACCCTCCTGTTAACAAGACTAGGCGTTAAGCCTATATTGTTGTTGTTGTTTTGTTGCAAATAAAGAATAATGATCTATAATTACCAGTTGAATTCCTTGGTTGAATTTCTACTTAACAAGAAAAGCATGCAATTCGCCCATCACTTCACCAGAAATAATTAACCCTTTTATCCTGCCAATTAATAAAATAGTATACAATATTTGAGCCAGTATTGTATTCTGGTTGGATATATTAGAGCAACCATAAATGCATTCATGATAGCTAGGATAAATTTCTGTGACAGAACTGTTCTTTACTGTATTTTTCAATCCAGAGAACTCTTTTTGAAATGGTAAATTAGTGCATTAAGACATATTTTAAAAATAATAACTTACGGGTGGTCCAGTATCCCCTTTTGGCCCTATCAGATTCTCCATTTCGAGCATTGTGTTAAGATCTTCATAATAATAATAATCATGAAGCTCAGTTCCATAGCTATTTTCAATGGGATAAGTGGCATCAGGATCAAATTCACCTTCCTTCCTCAGATCAAGGTGGTTATCCACAGAAAACTCATCCGTCACTCTGTATAAGGTTGTGTTTACAATCTGTTGCATTTCTATGAGTTCATTAGTGTAAACATTTGCTGTAATAGCCTTCTTGAGATTATTGATCGTATCTTGTTCTATACGTGGAAGAATAGACGACATCTTCATAAATGATGAGAGACCAGTTTCTCTATTGTTATGCTGTGTGATGCTGGAAGCATTTAGAAGAGAACTAAATTTCTCCTTGGTGGTCGTTCTTGCCTCACTGAGATGCTGATGTGTCATTGATAAGCTTAAATTTGTCTGAGTAGGTTCCGAAGTGATCATTTCTTTGGCCTGAATTCCATGGTTCAAGAGATCCGCAGCAGACACGTTCTCCGAAGGAAGAGATGTTAACTGAGATCCTGGTATCCGGTGTTCTTGTTTATGCACTGTTGCAGAATCATTATTTAGGATATGTGAAATGTGTCTGCCATCAGTCAACGTGTGTTCTGACAGTACTTTTTCATCAAATGGTTTGAGCAAAGGAGAGTTTTCCAGTATTTCAGATGGTATGACAGTTGTGCGAGGAAGGCTTGTCTCAGGCCAGTATGTGCCTGCTTGGCGACATTGCTGTTTCACGTATGTGCAATAGTTTGCAGATGCTTCTGCAAAAGGAATAATATGCAACTGACATACTATTCCTTCAAAATGGACAGAATTATTATTCATACTTCCTAAGGTAAACACACTGCTAGAATCAAAAGTTTGAACTTCTGAAAAAGTCTCTTTGCTAAAGTATTTCTTTCCACAGTCAGTAAACATTGAGACAACTTTGTTTCTAATATTAATGGCAAATGAGTGCCATAATTCATCATGAACACTGTAGTTGAAAAATACAGACTGCTTTCCTCCAATGTATACCATTAATTTTTTAGGCAGTAATTGAACTCCTAATTGCAGTCTATTTTTATTTCTAATGCTGAAGAGAAATGCATTGTTTACTCTATGTGATTGTAACCCAATTAATATTGTAAATGGTTGTACTAAGTTGACAGGTAAAATTTTCATGAGAGGTGACTCAACATAAGCATCATTTGTTAAAATGACACCAGATTCTGTTAAATGAACCCCCTGAGGTAATGGTGTAGATGATGATGGTACAGCAGTCCCTGATGATGAGTGTCTTACATCTTTGCCTCCAAGGCCTAGTTGATGTAGAATATCTATGCCTGGAAATTAAAAAAGAGAAAAAAAGAGAGAGAGATAAAGAATCTTACTCTTATTCATTAATGTGTTCATATATATATGTTTGAGTATGAGAAAATCTTCTTGGTCTGTATCAACAGTAATTCCTAAAATAAGCATGCTCTATCAATAACTAATTTCCAGGGAACTAGAGCTGGGGAGGGGGAAGATAAGACATTATACACAATAATTTGAATAAAACACCCACACATGTGCAGTTCAGTATCTCTAAACCCAAAATTTAATTAACAAATTAGTTCAGCTCTTATATTTTAGCAATCAGTTAGTATTCTTGTTACTCCCATAAATACACATGTTCAAAGATTCCCAGATGGCATTTCCTTCTTTAATTGAGAACTTACATTTGAAAACTCCTGTAATAGAAGAAGGGAGCTCTGGTGATGTAGTGCCTAAGGCATCTGACTGCTAACCAGAAGGCTGGCAGTTCAAACTCACCAGGCACTCCTCAGAAGGAAGATTGGTCAATCTACTTCCATAGAGACTCTGCCTTGGAAACCCAGGGAGTAGTTGCTATGAGTTGAATCAACTCAATGGTAGTGAGATTGGTTTGGTATAATAAAAGAGAAACTAAAGGTCATACAAAATAATATTTGTCATTGGAAACCATTTTATAGATTGAAATCACACAATTCTTTAAACTAATATTTAAGCTGTTTTCTCTCCCAGTCTCCAGGGAATTTACATGTCACAAAGAAGTCTTCCCTATGCCTAATGCCTTAAAGAAATAGCACACTTGAAGTACTCAGGTCACCAAAATCCTTTCTGATATTGCCTGGACAAGAGAATTTTATTCTTTTTGTTGGTGATCATCATACTTTCTCTCTTCCAAATTTCTTTCTCTTTCATTTTTTTCTCAGTCCACCATAGCAAATAATTATACAAGTTGTAGACTGTTTTCAATATCTATATATAATATATACAATATCTATTTTTATTATTTAGTCTTTATCATGTTAATGATTATATACTGCTTACCTCTATTTCCTAAATATAAACTCCTTGAGGAGAGGTTTTATATTTGATTTATTATTTGATTTCTACAGCTCCTCACTTCAATATAATTCTATAATTTATGAATGAATGAATTTGCCCCACCAGAACCTGATCAGATGTTGTGGTAGTTACATTTGTGTGTCAACTTGGCTGGGCCTGGTTGAGTGTCTGGGCAGCTGGTGATAGTTATTCCCCATGATGAGAAGGGCAGTCAACTCCATGGTGGGATTTACTACAGGCAGTTGAGTAGCTGCCTTTGGGATGTGGTCTGCTTCCTATATATAAGGAGAAGCCTTAGGAATGGTCTCTAGCCTGTGGCACACTTGGACCCTGCGTGTAGCCATGTCGTTGCTCAGCAGCCTGCTATGCTCTGCCAACCTTTGGACTTAAAATGGACCTAAGTTAATGGCCTGCCATGTGGATTGGTAACATCGGGACCATGCCTTTTACTTGTCAACCTGGGGCTTCTTAGCCTCAGCAGTCAACAGCTGTCTGAGTAAAGAAACGTCTTTAGCTCCATTGGGCCGGGAGTAGGAGGCAGAGCTGGAATCCAAGGTTGAGGGGCTTTCACCCAGCCCCTAGAGCCTGGCACTTTGAACTTGGACTTAAAGCCTCCAAATTGTAAGAATAAACTCTTACAATGTGTTTGTTAAGGCCATCCCATTTGTGGTAACATTCTTGTCAGAGGGGCACTAGGTAACCAGGACAGATATATTCATCTCTAAAGTTCTAAAAATTACATTCTTGCAAAGGATAAGGATTCCTTTCTTAAAAATATAGAAAAGCTTTGTCAGCCATATGATCTTTTTTCATTCTTTGGGTTAGAAATCTTCTATCTGCTTCTATCTACCTACTGATCTAATCATTTCTAATTAGAAAGTTGAAAGGAAAGAATTACTCATTTGTAACTGATAAATGAGGAAATATAAAAGGTTTTGAAGATTAGCCAAAAAACTTGTTTATCTTATTGCAGGAAATTAGTAGATATTGATAATTTATGTTCATTACTAATTGTTGTTGTTGTTAGGTCCATTGATAAAACTGTATGGCAAATGTCAGACCCTAGTCTGACAATTGCATACAACAATGAAATGATTACTTGACTATTACTCATACATAATTTAAAATACACTTTTTCTCATCAGAGAGTTTTACAAAACATCCAAGTATTTTACTTTAGAGTTAAAGCAACTATCATTTTATTCATAAAATAGTTGTAACTTTATGACAGTTTTAAAGGATATCCAATCAGCTTCCACAGATTCAACCAAGGTTAAAAAAAAGAAATTAACTGATCTAGTCAAAGCAATCCCTCAAACTGTCATTCACATGGTATTTATATTGTATGAAGTATCATGAGTATCATAAGTAATCTAAAGATGATTTAAAGTAGATGGGAGGATATGCAAATGCTGTAGTATTTTATACGAGAGACTTAAATATCCACAGATTTTGAGATCCTCGGCATTCCTGGAACCAATCCCTGGTGATGGATACTAAGGGATGACTGTAAATGCTTATGTCTAAGATGTTGTATGACAGTGTCTCTCAAATTTTCCACTAAAATATTCTTAATAGCAATAGAGAATTATATGAAGCTGCAGGAACTTGGGCACATATTTTATAGAGGCCCAATTGAAATGTAAAAAAGAAATAAAAATTTCACGGAAAATTTTAATTTTATTCCATAATATAGCTATGTTTGTTTTAATATATGATATAAATTACTTAACAGTTAACTCAGTTAACTATACCCATCCCCAATCTTCAATGAAAACTTACACTCCTGAAATATATGACATATTTTGTCTGAGACTGGGTACACTGGCCCAATGCTATCTGGCTCTTAAAGGAATGCATTATTGCAATCTGAGAAGTAAGCTGTGAAAGAAAGTTTGCTACTGTGAAAATCACAATGCTGTTAATTTGAAGTATATTTATGATAGGTTACATTTAAGCAAAGGCAAAGTCACACCTATGTGGTGTAATATTAAGGGCTTGCACCTTGCCCAAAGACACTTCCCCTTGCACTTAACAATAACCTCTACCATCTGCTATCTCAAATTTATAATCCCATTAAAAGGAAATGTTTTGAGAAGAGTATTATTTGAAAACTTTAGAATGTATATATGTGTTTCTTTATACATATATCAAAATATATCTTTCAATTCTATTTTGAGTTTTATGAAAAAGTTTTTTTAATCAAATTTATTTAAGCATTTATTCAGCAAGTTTTCTATTATTGAACAATTTGTGTATTCTTAAAATAAAATCTGCCAAATAGTTGTGTATTATTCCTTTGATACTTTACTGAGTTCTTGATTATTTAATAATTAATATAGAATAAGTACATCAATAATTATGAATTTAGTCTATGGTTCTTTTACTGTACCACCTTTATCGGATTATGCTGTTGAAGTTTTATTGTTTTGTATGGCATATGACACTTTAACGTAACTTCAGAATTGTTATTATTTTATCTCAAAAGTTAGATAAAACTCAGCTGTAAACCCATCTTTTATCATGTTGGCTCTTTGACTGTTAGCTCTTCGTTCACTTCCCTAATCTCTTATGTGTTAATTAATTTATTCAAATTGTTGACTGCATCTTGAACAAATTTTAGAAATTCATATTTTACTATGAAATTATAAATATTCCCTAAGCTTTCAAATGTGTTACCCAGACATCTTCTTGTAATATTCTTTTACAAGTCTTTTTATTTTTTCTCTATGTGTGGTTCTCTATCTTATTTTTCTAATTCTGAATATTTTGCTCTATTTGTTCTTTAAACAGTAACATTATTGGTCATGATGTTAAATGAAAATGGGTTTATTGTCTGTTTTCTGTGACATTAATTTCAGCTTTTATCTTTATTAATTATATTTTCCTATTTTGGTTTATTTTATTTATTTATTTTTATTGTGCTTTAGGTGCAAGTTTACAGAGCAGAGTTTGTTTTACATTCAACATTATGTATACATTTAGTTTCACTCCCCATTTACCATTCCAACCCTAACCCAGTCTCTCCTCCCCTCCCTGCCCGGTAAACCCCCCCCCCCCGGCCCCTCACAGTTACGCACTCCTGTGTTATTTTTTTGTTTATTTTATTGTTCTTTTTCTTATTTCTGAAGATGACTACCTGATTTCTTTACTTTTCCATTCTTCCTTAATAATGAAGTCATTAAAACTATAATTTTTCATTAGTAGTACTTTAGCTATATCTCAAAGATTCTGATATGTGTATTTTCATTTTTGCTGTTTTCTAGAAACTCTGGAATTTATTTGTATTTTCCTGTTGACCAAATTGTTGGAGAGGATTTTCACATTTCCAACTAGATAGGCTTTTCTCTTTCCCAAGGAGCCCTGGTGGTGAGAGATTAAACACTTAGATACAAACCAAAAGTTCAGTGGTTTGAACCCATCAGCTGCTGCTCAGGAAAAAGATGAGGCAGTCTGCTTCTATAAAGATCAGAGTCTTGGAAACCCTAAGGGAAAGCTCTCCTCTGTCCTATAAGGTCACTATGAATCTGTCCTACAAGATCACTGTGAATCAGAATCAATGTGATGGCAAAAGATTTTTTGGAGTTTGTCTCTTTTCCAATTTTGTTATTAAAATCTAATTTATACATTGTGATCAGAGAATAATGTGCTATTTGTATTCTTTTTATTTTTGAAGCTTATTTGTCCTAACAAATACTCAATTTTCAATAAAGATTCATAAACACTTTCAATGATGTTTTAATGTATAGAATTTAATATATATCAATTAGTTGTACCTCATTGCTAATGTTATTTAGATCCTTTATATAACTGCTTATTTTTACACAATTTTCTGTCATGGAGCGAGAGGTAAAGAAAGTTTCTTTCTACTAGTGTGTCTATTTTACCTTTTATCTCTTGTGGTTTTCACTTTATGAATATTGAGGACATATTATGCATACAGTCATAAAATTCACATATTCATTGGGTGCCATTACCTTTCAATATGATAAAAAGACCATCTTTTCGAGTTGTATTTTTTTTTTGGTATTACATCTACTTTATATGGTGTTAAGCCCTCCTCCCTACTTGTTTTAAAAATTTCCATTAGTCTGATAGACCGATTC